ATCTACCTTAACCAAAATCAAAGTAGACTATCACTCACCCACACCAGATGGAAAACTCTACAGACTGTCGGTTCACACCCCATCACAAGCCAGCAAAACATCCACGAAACAGAGAAAGGTCTGTCACAGCCAAAAAATACACTCCAGACGTAGTACAGTAAGAATAAAAGGGGAGTCGAAATAACCTTTCCCTTTGAATTCTCCTCGCTATATCGGTCAATCGCGTTTCCATTCTGCACTTTCGAATTTTTAATCGCTCTCTTTTGGGGAGCATCCTGTAGGTTCAGAAGAATGGGGAGGGCATAGGGCCTCGCTCCACTACACTCTACTGTAGATGCACAAAAGACAAAAATCATGGCGGTGTATCTGTCCATGTTCTAACGGAAGATTCACTCCCAGTGTGAGTACGCCCTTACCTGGAGTGTAGCTTGGTCACATGGGCTGCGTTTGGAAGCTTACCAAGGCAGACCTCAACAGAAAGACAAATTTAAAGCAGAAAGAAATAACCAAGGGCATACTGTGCGCACTAGCACTTTGAATCCTAAACGTATCTGACCGCAATTACTGGCAAGGCGTGGATGAATCCGACGGGCCAGAGGGCAAGTAGACAAACGTCCCAGTTTGAGTATCATGCCCTAAAAACGAAAAGTTAACTCAGAGGAAAAGAAAAGAAAAGAAAAGTCGTTCATACTCAATGTAGCACAAAATGTGAGGCTTTACCCTCGGGGAGGACGTAATGTGCTAATCATGAAATAGCTGCCTTGCGAATAGCAAGCCAGCATCGCCCTTCTGCCTCGTCCACTCAGGCATTGCTCCACTGATCGTCATTCATTGAAGAAGAAATGTAGCACATTGTGTGCCTTGCTCCCCTACTCAACATTGGAAATGCATCTGTGCTGTTTATGCTCCATGATTTTTTTTATTTTATTTTTTTAAAGAGAAATTATGATGTTTATTGCTAAAAACAAAATAGTTCGAGGCCGGCGACCTCACAATTCAACCCGGAGTTATCCTGCCAGCCTCAGCCAGTTTAGCTTACGAGAGCACATTGCTCCAGTATCCGAGCACAGATCTCCGTAATCTATCCATGACGAAACCTGCTGGAAACCGCGTCCAGCGTCCCATCCTAACCAAGATGGTTCTAAAATTAAGGTTAAGGTTAACAGACAACCAATCCGATCCGAAAGGAGCTTGCTTGCGAGTACAACTCTTATGGTTACTAGAACTCTACTGAGTCTTGCGAATGGGGAAGTGAAACAGAAAAGTGAAACAAAAAAGTGAAACCTTTTACACCGACTCGCAAGAACGTTTGCTGGAAACCGGGTCCAGCGTCGCATTGCTATAATATCCTTTACTTATCTGTTGACAACAACCAATCTGATGTTTTCCATTTCCCTTCCAATAGGACAGTTGCAAAGAAACCGTTTTTCGCGCAGGTTTAGCTGAACCAAATTACATGAATATGGTTTTTCCAGTGTGCAATGATAACCAGGCGGAGTTCCTTTTTGATTCTGTTGATCGTCTGTTGAAAGTCCACTGTGTCTTTACGGAAGACTTTCGCGTTTCTCATTCAGTTTGCCCAAATGGCCTCCATTACGATCCCTCTGCTGCAGATCAGAGCCTTATATACTACAGTCTTCCCCCGAATACAACGTACGGTCGTTATAGCCGAATTTGGTGTATCTTTCAGTCTAAATTCAGCTAGAATGACCGTACGTTGTATTCGGGAGAAGACTGTAGGGACCCGAGTTGAAACACGCTCCTTCCGTTGCCTGTCCATATATAAAGGATAAAGTTATCAGACCATTTATGCTCCATGATACGCATTCGGACTGCTGCCAAACATTCTGAATGTATTTGGATGACTGCCACGACCGGATGCACTTGGACTGTTGTCTAGTGGAGCAAGGGCCCTACGTGAGGCTTAAAGGCTTTACTCTCGGTGATGAGAACACAAAATGTAGCCAATCCGACGAGT